TACTAAACACGGCGATGATGCCTCCCTGTGGACCAACCACAAGGAGTAGTAAATGTGAAGAATATTTGCTTTACCTATTTATGCCACCAGAATCTACATAATAATCCCTTAACAATGGATTTTGGTATTTATTGCCATTGTTATATATTCATATTTCATATATAAAATTCCGTAAATAACCTGGGAAAATTGTTTCCATTGTTTCCATTGATGCTGTCAGTCAAATAAGTGATATATTTTTGCCACTTTCCCTCTTGATGTTTCAATGACCCCAGTGTGAAAAATTGGATAAATAAATATTTGCGAAATTCCTGGGAAAAAACTCAAGTTCAAAGTTCTTGATTTGTATAAAGCAGATAGCGTTTATTGCACCTGTGAATACTATGAATAGAACAGAGTCGTCAAATGTATTTTATGCCTAAAAGCTAGGCACTTCCTTCATTATTTTTTGTTTGTTGATTTAAATATATTTGTGAAAGGCAATTAGTTCTGAGAAAAATATTGTTTTACAATAAATCATCACAATTTATGATTGAAAAATAAATTCAAAATATATTTTCCTTTTAATACCCAACTTATACAATCAATTTGCTTCTGTCTCAAAGGCAGTAATTGGATGCCCTGACAACAATGTAGTAATTATATAATTAACTCGGCTCATCTTGCATTCTCTCCTCTCTCCGGTTGCTTTCATTGAGGCATTGAGGCCTTCCCATTTCATGCCCTGAATGTGGGTCTCGATCATCCATTTATAATGATTATGCCTCGGCAACCAAATCCCACTCTGTCAGCTGGCCAGTATCAGATTACGCCTTGGGCTTTTATCGCTTTAGCCATTCAAGCCATCCACAAAACTCTAAGTTGCAACAGTTGGTTTGGTCTCGGCTTAAGTGACTTTGTGGATTGGCAACTTGTATTCGGATGCATTCTCGCCTTATTTATGCAAAGCTCTTTGTAAAATATTTCCCACCTTAAATGCAGACACTTAAAGTGTTAAACATTCGACCCAATCACATTGCCAAACGTGTTGATATGAGCGTACGTGTTAACCTTAAAAATAAATAAAGTCAAATTTGGCATGCAAATCCTTTAAAATCAAACAAAGGGAATTGCAAAGGGCGGGTTTGGGGGCGTAACAAATAAGTCAAGGCCAATAAACGTCGGCAGGCGACATGCCAGCTGACAGCCAACTCTTTGGCATCCCTCCCGGTTTGAGTCTACTACACGCAGAAATACAATACATACAACCCCATCCCCACGGCAAGTACATCACAAAACAAATTGGAAAACATAAAATCAACAGAGCTAATAGTTCACTTAGGGGCGCAGAGCCGGCGACAAAAAGTACGCGACGAACCGAACAGTGCCCTTTAAAAAGTTTTACAAGGCAATTGGAATAGTGAATACTCTTGGCAGAAAAAATATATAAATATAAAAGGTAGTTTATTGTATATTAATTTCTTTGGAATTTCATTAGAATATATTAAAAGTAATTAGTTACTTTTCTTAGATTAGGATAAACTAGACCTTCTAGATATTCTTTTTCACCTTCACTTAGGGTACTCCCAGTCTGCGGCTGTCTTCATGACAGTTGCCGGTGCTGGTTCTGCCTCTTTTGCTGTCAGGGCAAGATGGGTCTTTGGTCTCTGGTCTCTTGTCTCTGGTCGCTCGCTTGGATGACATAGTGGCACAGTTTTCCGTGAGCTCTTGGGCTGGCCGTCTGCGACCGGGAGAGCCCCCCAGTCACATTGAGCCGATTTACTATTGAAAATAAAATTTTATTAGAATTTTCCACACTTTTTGTGTCTCCTACCGAACTCTGGGGGTTTCCCTTCATTGGCTCTTCTTTGGCGGTCTTCGTCATACCGCCTTTAAATGTGCAACGCTCTGACGACTTTTGGATTTGATGTGCGCAGCTTTTTTACGACACTCAGAGACGAAATTTTTTTTTGATTTAAAACAAAAAGTGGGGAATTTTAGCCGGCACACGCAGCTGTTGCTGCTGCTGCTGCTGCTGCTGCTTCTGCTGCTAGTTTGAATAAATTTTTATTGCTTATTGGTTTTAGAAATTGCATATGGTACGGGCGGAAAATGACCGGCGGTTACAAAGCGGAAAATCATAATGACTCATAAATTCATGAGTGAAATGTACGAAAACTTTGATTTGATTTGGGCCAGGCCAAAGCGTTTTATTTATTATGACTCCGCTTTCGACACTTTCGTGGGCATTTACATGAACCGCGCTCCGTCCACGCCCAAGTTTGCCGGCTAGGTCCCAATAATCGGCCGTACGTGCGTCCCATTCTAAGCAAACAGCCGGAGTACAAGTATTATTCTGGGCCTGTGCCTTCCCGGGAGCCAGAGCCAAACAATTGCGTGTGCCTCTAGCCACAGGCGAGGTCAGAGCAGAAGCATTGGAAACTGGAAACTGGATATGCTTGGCGGTGTAATTGAGTGGTTGCAGGAACATCCTCACGATTTGCTGTCGGAATATTTAACTAAAATATATTTATACTGAATTTTGATCTTGAGTTGCGGCCACTTCAAAGATACCTATTTGATTTTCAAACAATTGAATGCTTTGAAATATTATTCCTTATATTAACAAAGATTTGTATGCTCTTTCAATATGCATTATTTTATAATTATAAATTTTTAAAAATATTATTTCAACCTCTGCTGTATATATAAAGGCGGCACCTCACGCGAGACTGAAGGGGTCGCCTCTGACATTGGCCACGCGGTGCGCTACGCGGTCCATGCTGCACGTGCTGGCGGCTTTCCGTCTGTGAACTGCATAAACGCTGCCTCATTATGTCAGGGAGCACACATAGTGAGGAACATGGAACAGCCAAGGGTGGCAGGAAAGAGAGGCGGCCCAGAATCGGCAGGAATTTCGTATGTTAATGCTACAAAATCAAATTCCTCTTGGGGGGATTGTTCAATTTGTAGAGCTGTTTGTTTTTTGCGCCTAATGATACCATTAAGTGGTCTGGGCAGATTGTGGAACAAGCTGCTCGAAGCTGGGAACAGAATGATGTAAGTGCACGCACGTATGTAGACAGCACTTGATGATTTGCAAGTCGAAAAAAAAGCCTTTTTGGATTAGGAAAATATAATTCAGGAAGCTTGTCGCAATTTGAGTAATTCTTTTTTGAGACGTGATGTTATTTGTGGTGTTTGTTTCTTTTTTTAGCTTTTGATTTCATTGGAATTTGAAATTGCTTATCAGAGTATGACTCATTCTAAGGTACAAGGAATTCCTTTCCTCTGATTTTGCTTAGAAATAAATTATTTAAAAATTTAAAAAATATTTGCAATCATTTGGGTTTGGAAGGCTACATAGTCAAGTCGGTTTTATGAATATACAATGTTTAGCTAGTTTTTCCAAGTGTTTATTCTCAATAATTAATATTTTACGACTTTTCCTATTAAGAGATACTCATAAAATGAAAGCATACTAAGTGCACAAATTAAGATACGGATCAGAGCGGTTTTTTTATATTATTATATATGTATAGTTCCATAGTTCCCATGTGGTTTGAAAAGCCAAACAATCGATGTATCATGACGATGACTAACCGATCGCCGAAATGTTTTGGGTGAACTGTCAGCCGGCTAATTGAGACGAGAAAACACTTTTACTTAATGCTCACAATTGAAAGTAATTTGCATTCCAGGCCCAAGGAAAAACAACAACAAGAAATATTGAATGCGGCGTGAAAGTCACGACTCCAAATGTTGTTTCTTGTCCGATTCTTGTTGCCTAAGTCGCGCCTGATAAATATTAATTGTCCGCTGACAATTTGAGGTCAGCGGCATAGTTTCCGAATGTAAATTGTATCTGAGCCTTGTATCTATATCTGCTGGGTAGCTGGCGCCCATTAATTGCGTTAGATTATGCACATATGGCAAGTGGAGTGGCCAGAAAAGTGGCTTGGGAACTTCTCTAAATAAATAAATAAAACAAGCTCCGGTTTATCAGCTGCCCTTGGCCACGGGCAATTACACAATATATACGTAGAAGCCAGAAGCTGAGCTCACAAATGATTTATTGGCTGTGCGATTAGGGCCTTAACGCAGCCGAGTTGACAAAAATTGTATTTATGGGATCATGATTCACATTGATCTCTGACATGCCGAACTGACACAGTGCCCCTCATAAACAAAGTACTTTTAATCTTTGGTTCTTTTGGATTCTAGGTGTGTCCCTAAGTTTTGTAAGCAAGTTTACACAGCAAAAAATATTATCTTTTGATTTCTGATATAACAAATGTTAATTATAATTTGTTATATTGTTAAAAAATCTAAGAAAATCGCGGTATTTTCAAGAGAATTTTATTTTATAATAAGTTTTAAGAATAATAAACACAGAGGCCTTTTAATTTTTTTTAAATTTGTATATGCCGAAATCTGCCATTCCTAATTACCATTATTTTTGTAATCTCTACAGCCGATCTGCCTGACTTCGATCCCATCCAGTGACGCATAGTTCGTTCCGTTGAAGTCTGCGAATTTCGTTTGGCCAAAAGAAGACCGACCGCAGAGTTGTGGGGCTTCCAGCTGAACTATCTTCTGGGTGCGGGCATTGGCTGGGTTTGGGAATCGAAATGGGATTGTGAATGAGAATGAAGGGCCTGCGGTTGGCTGGGGGACTGCAGGGGTAATTACCAAACACTGCCCCCGCCAAGTGGGCCAAAAAGCGAGCCGTGGGGACGCTATGTCGCCCGTCTGCATATAATTTCAGCAGCGGCCAAGTGTGCGACTCGTGTTACCAATATGTATATACCCGGGCCAATAATTGCGGGCGGCGCATAAAGTGTCTGGTCTGCGGTCGGTTTATTTCCACGCACAAGTGTCCGTTTGAGTGGATCTGTTTGTGGGCATAATTTGAACTGGCCACATTTGTGTATTGATTACAGATTGAAACGGAAGTTCCTCTTCAATCGAATCACTTTGAATAAATTCTGACCTTTTGTTTATCTTTTATTTCATTTCAGCACCGGCTGTGGTCAATATGCGTCTACTAATGCTGATATGGGTTATGATGAGTGCTTTAATGGCTACAGTCCTGGGTTCCTTTGAACTTATAGGACAGTCCATCAAAGGTGGGTTTATAATATATTAATAAATAAATATATTTTTTATCAAAGCAGAGTCATATTCGAATATTTATGTAAAGTAATAATTTATACATCTGAATAAATGAAATAAAAAGTCGACTTTTGGGCTCTTAAATGTTCCATTACTGCCAAGCGAAAAGTGTAGTCTAGTGTAGGGGATTTCCAACTGCAATAAAGACCACTTTACTACTTCCACCGTTTCTATAATTACCGAGTGAGACACTGACGCTTACCCTTTTGCAGATGCCCTGGCCGAGTATACGCTGACGGACATCATGAACAACAACCAATTTACGGGCATCGAGTTCGGTGAGGCGGAGGACGGTTTTCCTGCCTTTCGTTTCCTGCAGACGGCGGACGTGAAATCGCCATACCGCATGCTCTTGCCCGAGAAACTGTACGAGTTCGCCATCCTGATCACTTTCCGGCAGAGCTCGCCGAAGGGCGGCTACCTGTTCAGTGTGGTCAACCCGCTGGACACCGTTGTCCAGCTGGGTGTCCACCTGTCGCCGGTGGTGAAGAACAGCTACAACGTATCGCTGGTCTATACGCAGGCGGACCAAAGTATTGGCCGCAAGTTGGCCAGCTTCGGTGTGGCTCATGTGCCGGACAAGTGGAACTCGATCGCTCTCCAGGTGCTCAGCGACAAGGTGTCCTTCTACTATGACTGCGAGCTGCGCAATACCACGCCAGTGGTTAGGGAACCCATCGAGTTGGTCTTTGACTCTGCCTCAACGCTCTACATTGGCCAGGCGGGCTCCATTGTTGGCGGCAAGTTTGAGGTAAGTTCTGCCGGCGGCCAATTTGATTTTTACTTTGATCTTTGACTATAATTGCAAAAGGGAATAATTTTCGAAACGCCAGCGAGTACAGCGAGATGAATGTGAGTTGCTTAAGATTTTAATTGTAATTGAAGAGGCTTTTTATTATCGAAGAGGGTAGGGGGTTCAATTGTTCTATTGGGAAATCTTTTTGAGTGAAACTTCATTTTTTGACAAGGTCTCTGGTTTATTTATATAAATACCAGATTGAATATTAATCGTTCTTAGTTATTAAGTACATTTTGTTGTTGTTGTGCAATGCCTTTTAAGAAGGCCTAAGAGCTTTTCACCACTTTACCCTTTGGACTGTCTGCTAGCCACCCTTAAGTGGCGCCATTTGGCCATCTGGTGGTGGAAATTGGCAGTCACTCAGCGGCCTTGCAACCCTCTTCGCATATTTCCCACTCAACTGACTTCACTCAAACGCTGAGTTCAAACTCAATGAGCGTTTTTGAGCCATGCGGGCTTGAGTCGGAGTAAGAACATTGCGTATACGCGTCGTGGGCACTCACTCGGTACTATTCGCTCTCTGGAAATTCAGCGCTCGGCGCAATTCAGCAGCCGAATAGCCGAGTAAACCGAGGCGGCACGAGGCAGCCTGTGTTGTCTGTGGCCCGAACAGATTGCTGTGATTTGATGGGGCTCCTTGGGCGGCGAGTGCGTTTACCTTTTCAGTTGCGTTCGCGTTTCCCAGCAGTTCAGATGGCCACTCGGCCGGGTCTAAGATGAACTTCTCGTTGCCGCCGTGCTGTCGGTCCACGTCTAGGCACTCTGCCTCGTCCTCGTCCTGGTCTTCGTCTTCGTCCTGCTCGTCTTCGTCCTGCTGCCTTCCGGACGTCGTGAGTGGCACTACAACGCATACGACGGCTACTACAGCAGCAGCGAAAACAACTGCAAATGAAGCCCTTGTGCTGGCTTAGCCGCAAAAAATGAAAGTGATTTATTTGGCCGAATGAAATATGCTCGCCTAAGTGAACCTAAGTGACTGGCCCGGAATCGAGTCAATTAAAATTCAATTATGCGACCAAAGATGAAGGAGAGGCCGCGCAAGCGTTTGAAAATTCGATCGCTGAACTCCTGAACTCCAAACCGTAAACCAAAGCTGCCGCACAAGTGTTCCCCCCCCGAGAAATATATGAATATCCTGGCAATCGATCATATCAGTAAAGAACGCACATATCGCGAATGGGAAACAGTCCCAAAGGATATCAACGCCAGATATCAGACTAGCAATTACCGTTACCCTTGTTATACCAGTTGCAATTGTTATATCGCGTCGTCTTCGTCATCGTTGTTTTCGCGAGAAATTCGTTAGGAACTCAGTTCTGAAGTGGAGGAGAAGGCAAACTAAACCCAAGCACATTCACTGTCCAACTCCCACCAGACAAAAACATAAAAAAACACACAAAAAAATCTGCACTCTGCGAGCTTGTTCGAATGGAAATCAATCAATTGCACAATGCCAAAGTGCATGTGGTGTGAAAAAGTAAATTAATTGCACAGCACGACGTCAAAGCTAAGAAACACACCGAACGGTTGGCGCGGTTAAAACGATAAATAAAAAATTAAATTAAATAGCGAAAAGTACAATAAAGAGAAAAACCGAAAGCACCATAACATGTGCTGTCATTTGTAATTACAAATGAGCCCGAATAAATCGAATCCATAATTCACAATTACAATAAATTTTAAAAGCAAAACTCATACCTATAAATAAAGCAAAGTATTTGCAATTAAATTATCTGTGATTTTTGTCAACATATTCAATATTTTTGCCCCGCGTGCGTGCATAAACCCAGTTTAACCCTTAAACGTATTACATTGCATATCCCGCATATCGCAAATCCCATAATTTAAAGTGACTGACTAGTGAGATCCCAGTGCGTTCGTTGTTCGTTGGCTTGAAGGTAAATATGGCCGGATGGCATAAGGGCCCCTCGTCGCACACAAATGGTTTGGAATGTCGCCCATCAAATTGAACACGGTTCGCGCATAAATTATGACACGCTGGATGGTCCGGGTCAAAGCCCCAAGTCCTGGCTATATGACCAGGATATAGAGGGCCCCATTTGGATTGGCTGGCGCGCCTAAATCAATGGCAAACTCATTAAAGCGCCAGCGAAAACTGTTTTCGCCCGACGCGTCACTAACCACAGACAGAGCTGGCTTTTTCCTCATATCCCAGCTCCCAGCTCCGAGCTCCCATTACCCATTTCCCACTCGTCACAGGCCTTCCACTTTCCATTTGCCCAACTTCCCACCCATTGCTCCTGCATATGCATATTAAAGCAGCACAGGGCGTATGCGTAATATGTATACATTTATAATACTGTGGGCTGGCCGCCCGCCTTTTGTCTTTGCCTTCGCTCGTTCGCTCGGCGTTCGGCATTCGGCGTTCCGCGTTCTTCGCATATGGCCGAAAGGCAAAGGAAAATACGTTTTATTTATTAAATAAAAACGCTGGCAAGCGATGGCTGCCGCGGTCTGGATTTTAATGGGCGTCGGGAGTTGGCTCAAACAAAAGGGCCCAGCACGGCCTCGTGAGCATAAAGCGAAAGTTAACCCTTTAAAGGACTAGACGACCGACTGAAAAGTATGGCGGCTTAAACTTTAAAGTCCTTGGCCATTTCAGCAGCATTTAATTGCATATGATGATCTCTCTGAGTGCAGCCTGCACAAAATTTCAATTACAAAACAAACTTTCCTCTGCTGTTCTCTCGGCCTAAGTGATCATAAATATTCATGGACCGCCATCTCTGGGCCTGGTTATGTGTGTGTGTACTAAGCTAATATGCATTAAAATATACCAGTCTGATTGCTTTGTTTTTGCTGTTTGCAGCGTTGACTTACAACATCCCTCATAATATGTAATTTTGATTCGTAAATTTATCAATTTATCTTAATAATGCAATATTACAGGCCATTATGCCGACACAATTTTGAAATTCAATTTGTAATGTTTATTTACATATCAGGGCCAACTCCCACTCGATTGTGTTGGAAATTAGTTTTCGACTAAACACTCACTCATGTCCTGGCCATCAAAAGCATACGTTGGCTCGCATGAAATTGACCAGTTTATATTGTTTTGTTAGTTCATAGTTGGTCAATATGCTGCATGTAGCCAAAAAAACACATACAAAAGTGTTTGGTTTAAAAAATAATTGCTTTGCTGTTTTCATTGAAAATATAGTTATATTTTGTTATTGTTTCTGGCATTCTTAACTAGGCCAAGTTCTTGGATTTAAGGCAAATGTTGCTAAAATGGATTAAGGGAGAGTTGTAGAATTTTATATTGAAATTTAAAGAAAATCATGAACAAGAATGCTAAAATGATTTTTAATATAATTGTACTTTGCCTTTGGTTTTTTTTTATTTACTAACAGAATAAATATAATTATATTCACTCATTCAAAACAAAAATTTTATTTTTACTAAATCTAATCTTAAAACAAGTCTTAATATTTCTTAGGGCCTTATGAATTGACTTCCGAATTTTCTAATAAATAAATTATATGCGAATTCATTGACTTTGATTACTTTTCCATCATTTTTACGACATTAGATCCCTTTTTCAGTACTCATTTACCGCATTTATTTCTGCTTGAAGAACGTCCATGAGCTTTTTACCCAAACAACCCGAACACATGTATGGTACCTTTTGTATTTATTCCCATAAATGGATTTTTTATTACGTCTAGAGCTGCAGGTCGTTAAAGTCGTACATATTCGGTGCCTATTTTATGAACGTTGGTGGGTCTAGTGGGCTGCTGAGGCTCTGGCAGCCACATAAAACCCTTACAAAAATGCGAACTGAACGGAAATGTCTTTGATGGCTTTAGAGTATGGAGTAGGAGTAGGAGGGTATAACGACAAACTATGATTATTTTGTAATTTTATGGCTACCCCAAGGCGAGAGGCGAGAGGCGGAAATCCATACCAACCAATGGGGCGTCACCAATAAACATAAATTATGCAAATTTTTGACTTTAATTATACGAGCTGATAGCAACGCCCCACATTCCATTCCATTCCATTCCCAAAACCCATATCCCTTATCCGTGTGCGCCCGATTATTTGGGTTGTTATTAATTAAGCTGAGACTTCATGAGCGCGTTTTAATCATTGGGAACACGCGTCCCCGTTCCCACCGTAGCGTAGCCCCTATATGGTGTCCTGTGTGCGGGGATAACATGGGTTGTGGTAGGAGCTGGGGGACACGGAGGAGGAGCTGTCAGACCGTTTCTGCTTATCGATCAAACGCTCACAGAAGTCACAGAAGCCTGAGGTTACACATTAGACATTTCTTCCAGTGACGTTTTGTTTTGTTCCGCCTTCATATTAAGGATACATGTGTGACACATTCCCCCATCCCGACCTTGTCACTGATAACTGCACACAAAGGCCCAAAGAAAATGGGAAGTTTGTGCGGAAAACGGTGCTTATTAAAAATTACATGTCAAACGGAAAACCAGCACAGGAAACCCCAAAGACACTAAGAAAAGAAATAGGAGAGAAAAAATTTGATTCATTTTACATAAAAACATATTCTCAAATTATTTAGAAAATAATTTTTGTATGCTTTTTATCCTTGTTAACATAACTTCCAAATTATATAACTTATTCATAATATAAGAATTTAAATTATTTAATATTTTCATTTTTATTCTCTGTGCACACACACTTACGAGATGAGTTGGCATAAACCTTTTGGTTTTTGGGCGTTGGAGAAGAAGAACCCTTTTTAAATATGTCGCCCCATTATCTTCATTAGGCGCTAATGTCCGAAAAAGGTTTTTCCCCCAACTACTATGTATATTCTCCCCCCTTTTGAAACTTTCTTTTTCCCCTGGCTGGATTTAACTTTTTGGCTACCATGACAACTTCAAAAGTCGTTACTCATTTCTGTGTACTTAATTTGGTAAAAGATATGAAATTTCCTTCTTATCGCACTCCACTGT